TTGTGGTTACTAAGCAGCTCCTGAGCACCGACACAGGCAGAGGTTTCAGGTGTTGTAGCAGCAGCTGTAATAAAGGCAGAGGAAAAATGAGCAGCAGTTGAAGGGTTAAATACACGACAAGTCCTGGGTGGAGCGGGAGATTTAGAGACACGAGCAAGAGGTATTACAAATGAGATTGGTTTGTGATCAGACATGACAGCATCCCCAATTTCCAGATTTAGCACAGAGACACCACAAGACAGAACAATATCAAGAGTGTGACCCTGATGGTGTGTGGGGCCGACAACATTTTGCACCAGGTTTAAAGAGTGGATCAGATTTAGAAAGTCCTGAACCAAAGGCTTTTCAGGGCAACAGACGTGCACTTTGAAGTCCCCTAGAATCAGCACACGGTCGTATTTTAACAGTATTGCAGTGAGAAAGATAGACAGTTCACTGATGAAGCCTGTGGAGGATTTGGGCAGTCGATAAAGCACCACAATCAACATGGGGTTGGAGCGGCCCAGTTCAAAATGCAGCAGTTCAAAGGTCTGAAAAGATGGTGTCTGTAACAGTCTGCATTTCCAGATTTTCTTAAAAACAGCTAACACTCCTCCACCTCTTCCAGATGACCTCGGGCAATTAAGAAAAGTACAATCAGCAGGCACCAGTTCAGAAAACACACTTGACTCACCCGGAGGAAGCCAAGTCTCCGTCAGAAACATGAAATCCAGATTATTTGTGCAGAAAAAGTCGTTCATGATGAAGGTTTTGTTTGTTAAAGACCTCACATTGAGGAGAGTAAACCTTGTTGGGTCAGCAGCTGAGGGAGAAGTTGAGGGGGGGTACAGGTTCTGGTACAGCAGCAGGGTTTGGGCTGGCAGTTACAGGTTCTGGTACCGCAGCAAGTTCTGGGCTGGCTGATGCAGGCTCTGGGCTGACTGCAGGCTCTGGGCTGACTGCAGGCTCTGGGCTGACTGCAAGCTCTGGACTGACTGCAGGCTCTGGGCTTACTGCAGGTTCTGGGCTGGCTGCAGCTGGTTCTGGTACCACTGCAGGTTCTGGGCTGGCTGCAGCTGGTTCTGGTACCACTGCAGGTTCTGGGCTGGCTGCAGGCTCTGGGCTGGCTGCAGGCTCTGCAGTGTGTGACGCAACAAAACTGGGGTCGAGTTCAGCTCTTAGTTTCATGGCAAATTGAAAGATCACCTGATGAACCAATGTGCTGAGCAGGTCAGGCTGTGAGAGGAATATATCTGAGTTGGTCCACCAGGCGTCTTCTATTAACTCTGTCTCTTGGAGTTATTCTGAGAATCACTATAGAGCCTTTGATGAGAGGATGAGCCACCTGGTCCTCTACAGAAGGCAGCTCAGGGATTTGGTCATCCTCAATAGGAGCAGGAAGCGATTGCCCAACACGCTCCCGGGCTGGCCCCCCTTCGTCTACTCCACAGATGAAAGTGGGGAGGACTGCTCCCCTCCCTGCAAAGTTCTCCCCGGTTTCACTGGTTCCGGCTTAGGAGAGCAGGCTGGAGGCTGGGACCAGGAGGAGGCGGAACCAAAAAACTCAGCCTCGCCGGGTCGAGTCCGAGGAGCTGGAAATGTAGGTGATGTGGGCGGAAGAGCAGCAGACCGGTTCCGGTTGCGTCTTCTCTTTTCCTTTTGGTGGCGATGTGGGTGGTGTACCGGGACGAACCAGAGTTCGTCCTCTGACTCGGCGTCCTCCCCAGACGTCCACCCAGAGCAGACTGGTGAGTAGAAGGAACTGAACCAGGGTCCTGTGTGGTTCTTTTGGAGTTGAGATCTTCGTCTCTCCTCCAGCAGTTAGAGAGGCAAAGGCAGAACTTCGACCGCCTGGCTGCAACTTCTCAGTCCCAGGACGGGTCTAGTCCAAAAGGCACCGCACCGGATCGCAGCTCCCTCCATCTGGACAAACTCGGGCAAAAACAGGTGAGCAGAGTCTGAGTGAGTCTGCTTGCTGGGTTCAGGTTTTGGTCGGTTCGTACTGTCAGGGTTTTCAAGGCAGATCAGGACAGAAGAACCCAATTGCGTAGGCAGGACTCAGGAGGTAGATGTATAAAATAAAATACTTTTAATAATAATAGAAATAATAAATCAAAAGACTGACATGGCAGCAAAACTTACAAAGCGGACTCAAGAACAGGATCAGACAGGCAGGACAGGACAGGCAATACCCAACGACGAACCGACAACAACAGAACTGACAGACAGACTTTATATACACACAACTAAGACATGACACAGGTGACGATAATCAGACAATCAATACAGACACAAGGGAGAACAGATAGGGGAAGGCCCACTAGATGGTGCCACCCCTACAAGGGTGTCCTGGTGCCAAGAGCACATATGGACACCCTTATGCTTGAACAAGGTGTTCGTTATTGACAATCCATGATTAGCACAGAAGTCCAACAACAGAACACCACTCTGGTTACGATCAGTGGGGCTGTTCCTTCCAACCACACCCCTCCAGGTCTCACTGTCATTGCCCACATGAGCATTGAAGTCCCCCAGCAGAACAAGGGAGTCCCCAGGAGGTGCACTTTCCAGTACCCCCTCCAAGGACTTCAGAAAGGGTGGATAATCTGAACTGCCGTTTAGTGCATAAGCACAAACGACAGTCAGAACCCGTCCCCCCACACGTAGGCGGAGGGAGGCCACCCTCTCATTCACTGGGGTGAACCCCAACACACAGGCACCAAGTTGGGGGGCATTAAGTATGCTCACTCTTGCTCGGCGCCTCTCACCAGGGGCAACTCCAGAGTGGAAGAGTGTCCAGCCCCTCTCAAGGAAACTGGTTCCAGAGCCAGAGCCATGCATAGAGGTGAGTCCGAGTATTTCTAGCCGGAACCTCTCAGTCTCACACACCAGCTCAGGCTCCTTCCCCACCAATGAGGTGACATTCCACGTCCCAATAGCCAGCTTCTGTAGCCGAGGATCAGACCGCCAGGGTCCCCGCCCTCGGCCACCACCCATCCCACATTGCACTCGACCCCTTTGGCCCCTCCCACAGGTGGTGAGCCCATGGGAAGGGGGACCCACGTCTCCTCTTCGGGCTGTGCCCGGCCGAGCTCCATGGATAAAAGCCCGGCCACCAGGCGCTCGCCCGCGTGCCCCACCTCCAGGCCTGGCTCCAGAGTGGGGACCCGGTGACCCACGTCTGGGCAAGGGAACATTAGGTCCATTTATTTGTCTCATCATCGGGGTCTTTGGGCTGCACTTTGTCTGGTCCCTCACCTAGGACCTGTCTGCCATGGGTGACCCTACTAGGGGCATAAAGCCCCTGACAGCATAGCTCCTAGGATCATTGGGACACTCAAACCCCTCCACCACGGTAAGGTGGCAGCCCAGGGAGGGGTGTGCTCAATGATTATGTACAAAAAATCTGATTCCGATCAGATGATGCATCACTGAGATATAACTGTTGGAATAATCTAGGCGGTGCGCTTTAGTCAAATGTTAAAGAACAATATCAATGTGTCTATAAGTGCTCACTGATCATGTACAATAAATCTGGTACATATTGGATGATATTTCACTGAGATATAACTGTTGGAATACTTTTGGGGGTGCACTGGAGTCAAAATTTACAAAAAACAATACCAATGTGTCTAGAAGTGCTCACTAATGACGCACCAAAAATCTGGTCCAGATCGGATGATATATCACTGAGATATAACTTTTAGAATAATCTAGGGACGCACTCGAGTCAAATGTTAAACCACAACATCAGTGTGTCTAAAAGTGCTCACTGATGACGCACAATAAATCTGGTGCAGAGCGAATGATGTATCACTGATCTATAACTATAGGAATAATGTAATAATGTAAAAAAAATGGCTTGGGGCTGAGGTTTTAAAATATTCTAGGGGGCGCTGTAGAGGCTATAGGGTAATTATCATGGATTCCTGTTCAATGGGAGGATAATGGTTGATCATACTGATTTTGTTGAACCTCGGTTCAAATCTGTGGAATTTAGAGCCAAACGTATGGCGACGGCGTTACGTCTTAATTCGTCACGTCGCAACGCCCACATGCTCCACCCCAAACTGTCAGTGTTGGAAAGCAAGTTACACCGACATGTTTTCGGTCACTGGACACACTATCATGCTGATCAGGTAACGGATCAGATAAGGACAGTTCAACGTAAAACTTTACACTTCCTGTTTTCAGAGGGCATGGCTTAAGTGATGTCATGATTTGACCATTCAATCTCGCAGAGGACCGGATGTGGATCAATCACTGAAGGGTTGATAGCCCATACCAAAAAAATGTATGAGACATTAGCATTTTGTTTTTTATTGTGAGATGCCAAACTTTGAGATCTGGTCCCGCCCCTTCAGCATACTCCGAAACAAACCGTTCAGATAACTTTGCGTCCCCCATGCCTTTTGACCAAAATGGCCAAGTTTGAAACCGATTGAGCAAAATCCCTAAGAGTTCGTTCAAATGCGGAGGCTGTAAACCGCCAAAAATGTGTGAAAATTGGGACGACATTCCAAAATGGCCGCCTTCCTATTTATCGTACAATGTTGGTGCCAGAGGGTTTTCTGTGCATTTTGGGGAATTGGACAAGTTTACCGAATTTCATGTTTATACGACAAACGCGGAGGGTATTTTGAAAACTTCTAGGTGGCGCTCTTGAGCCGTTTCTGTTTCGATTTTGGCCACGCCCTTAAAATACGTAATTTTTCACCAGTCCTGATGTGTCCGCCAAATTTGGTGACTTTTGGGATATGTTAAGGCCCCCAAAACGCCGATTCATTTGGCGGAAAAAAATGCAGCTCGGGCCTGAACAGAGACAATAGGCCTTCGCAGCGCTTCGCTGCTCGAGGCTAATAATTATATAATATATAATATAAAATGGTGGGTGTTTTTGTTTTCTTTCTTTCAAATACTTGTTTATAAATCATCTGATTCAGGTTAACATGATAAGAAGTTTGCTGTATTGAAGCTCCTGGCCCTTCATGGTGCTCACTGCTTGCCTTTTGTTCCTTCAGGGTTCTCCATTTAATCTGGATGTAAAGAGGAGGTTCAGACATCACGCCGGGACGTTTCACTGCTGCTCCTTCTGCTCCAGCGGAGGAGCCAAAGAGGCTTGCTGTGGCTGCCCAGGAACAATGCCAGGTTAATAAGACATTTTCACATCTGTTTTTAAACCAAACCTGAATCTTGTCTTGCTCTGTGATGGACTGATGAGCATCTGATGAATTATTTTTATTGTTCAAGTAGGACTTTTTTGTTCCACTGAGCTGATTTTGTCGTCAAACACAAAATGTCATATTCTGCCCTTAAAGAAATGCTGCTGGTTCATTTTATTTGCAAAATTTAAAAAAAAAATGCTGCGTGCATTAGAATTTTTTTTATAAAAACCTTTAAACAAATTATTGTATCTTGTAGGATATCTTGTACTTGCTGTTATTTGTTTGGTAGAATAATTTCCAGAATATCAGTCATTCCTCATTTTTCTTTGGACCCCCTCTTCTTGTGTGTGCGTGCACACACACACACACAGGTTTGTCTTGCTATCTTTACGTGGCCTTTGCATTGACTTCCATTCATTTTTCATTTATTTCTATAGCCCAGTGCTTCTCAATTATTTTCTGTTATGCCCCCTTTGGAAGAAGTAAACATTTCACACACCCCAACTCTCCGCTGCGACTGTAAATAGTATAATTTGTCTATTTTAACTGTAGTCTGCTGCTATCGCCCCCCCACAGCTTCACCTGAGGCATTAACTGCCATGAAGGAATTTCTTGGTAATTTAAAATTCAAAGAGATCTTTTTGGCTGGAGATCTCAACATTGATTGGTGTAAGTCGACCCCCCTCTGTGATAAATTCAAGGAATGTTGCTTGTCTTTTAATTTAACCCAACTGATAAATTCTCCCACTAGATTAAATATAAACCATCCTGAAAATTCCTCCATCTTAGACCTGTTTCTAACTAATATGCCTCACAAATTCCCTGGTACAGGTGTATTCGCTGATCTTTTGAGTGATCACTGTGTGACAGCTGCTTTGAGAGATATTAAACTTCCACCTTCTAAGCCCAGATTAATTCAAAAAAGGGATTTGAAACGTTTTTGTGAACAGTCATTCCTCTGGGATCTGTCTCACTTTGACTGGCATCGTATTCTGTTAACTGATGACGTGAACTCTGCTTGGAACTATTTCCATAATAATTTCATTTATTTCCTGAACATACATGCTCCTTTTCGTCAGTTCAGAATAAAAGGACGAGACAGCCCCTGGTTTACTCCAGAGCTAGCTGACCTCCTGCACAGGAGAGATCATCTTTGGGCTACAGCGAGAAAATCTGGCTCAGACACTGATTGGTTGAGCTTTCGACAGATGAGGAATAAATGCACAACTGCCATCAAAGCCGCAAAACGCAACTATTTCTTATCTCAGACCTCCAAAAATCTAAATGACCCTAACAGATTCTGGAAAACCATCAAATCTCTCTCAGGCACCCCCCAATCATCTGACCTCCCATCACAACTTCTCATTAACTCTGTTCCTGTGTCAAATAAGCACGAGATCCTGAACTGTCTCAACAAACATTTTGTTGCTTCTGGTTCTTTATTTGACACAGTTACTAATGGAAAATCAGCCACTTCCCCTAATAACCAAACTTCTACAAATCAAATCCCTCCTACAAGTCAATCCTCAGTTAATCACAGCTTCTCTTTTTCTCCATTCTCAGTCAGTGAGGTCAATAAACTGTTAAAAGATCTTGACCCTAAAAAATCTGCAGGTCCAGATGAACTTCCACCTTATTTCTTAAGGCTGGCCGCTCATATCATCACAGTCCCTGTGACCCACATCTTCAATCTCTCCATAAGACAAAACTCCATCCCAGACACTTGGAAAACAGCCTTTGTTCTTCCTTTGCTGAAGGGAGGTGATCCCACCTCACTGAACAACTATCAACCAATCTCTAAACTCTGCATTTTAGCCAAGGTTCTAGAAAAACTGATAAACTCTCAAATCAAAAATTACCTGGACTCATTTAACATCTTACCTCCACATCAATCTGGTTTCAGGAAACAACACAGCACAACCACTGCTTCACTGAAGGTTCTTAATGATGTTTTTGAAGCACTGGATGCTAAGGATTATTGTGCTGCACTTTTCTTAGACCTGTCTAAAGCTTTTGACACTGTGGATCATAACATCTTGTGTCATAAACTCTCAGAAATCGGTTTCTCAGATCACACCATTGGTTGGTTCTCTAACTATCTTTCAGACAGGAGGCAATGTGTTCAACATAATGGTACTTCCTCCAGTTATTTAACAGTCAACAATGGTGTACCACAAGGCTCAGTCTTAGGACCCACCCTCTTTACAATCTACGTACATAATGTAGGTAAAAACATCCCTAATGCATCCATACATTTCTATGCTGACAACACAGTTGTTTATTGTCGAGCTAAAACTGTTGCTAAGGCTTTCCAGCTTTTGAAATCTGCATTCAACATCATCCAGACTGATTTGTCTCGCCTCAAACTTGTCCTAAATGCCGACAAAACCAAAGTGATGCTTTTTTCAAATAGGAAGTTGGTCCCAGCAGTTCTTCCTCCGATTTTATCCTCAAATGGTGTCCCTATTGAGTTTGTTGATTCCTATAAATATTTGGGTATCTTGGTCGACTCGCATCTCTCTTTTAAGCTCCATGTGGAAAACTTGATAAAGAAACTGAAAGTTAAACTGGGTTTCTTTTTCAGAAACAGATCCTGTCTAACCCTGAATGCTAGGAAACGTCTTGTATCTGTGACTTTCCTTCCCTCAATTGATTATGGTGACATTATTTACATGAACGCTCCTACAAGAACCCTGCAGATGTTGGATGCTGTCTATCATGGTGCACTAAGATTCATAACTGGCTGTGATTATCGTACCCACCACTGCACACTGTATTCACTGGTTAACTGGACATCATTAACTTCACGCAGACTCTCTCACTGGTATATTTTCATCTTTAAATCACTTCTTGGTCTGTTGCCTTCATACATCTCCTCCTACATGTCTCTGCGTGAGTGCAGCTACGGAGTGCGCTCTCAGGACATTATTACCTGCAGTGTTCCCTCAGTGAGGACTGAACTAGACAAAAGGGCCTTCTCCTATTCCGCTCCTGTTTCCTGGAACATCTTACAAAAAGATTTGAAGCTCTCGATCTTGACCTCTCTAAGTGTCTTTAAGAATCTGTTGGACACCTGGCAGGGTCCAATGCTGACATGTTCCTGTTTTTAGTTTTCTACATTTGTCTTGGAATCTAGCTGTTTTTTGTTTTGTTACCTTTTCCTTTTAGCCATCCTATTTGTTAAAAAAAAAAAAAAAAAAACTGTAGTATGCTTTTTTATAACTGTTTATTGTTGTTGCTGTTGTCCATTGTTGTCATCTTTCTTTGTTGAAATCAGGTCTCTCTTGTAAATGAGTCCTCGAGGCTCAATGGGATTTACCTGTATAAATAAAGGTTGATTGATAAAATTGTTATAAGTACACCTCTGCATAACATTGTATCCTTATTAACATTAAAGAAAACAATAGAGAAAGAAGGATCAACTTACAACAAAGAATAACTTGATTAACATTCTGATGCATGCTCAATAATCCAGGTAGATAAATCTAAAAAAGTGTCAGGAGGGCTGTGATTCTAGAATTCTAAAATTGCGCCGCTCCAGGTGGCTGCATGTTGGAGCAGCTCTGTTACTTTCATTCTGAGATTTTGCTTTTAGAAACTTTAATTCCTTTTTTTTTCTGGATGTAAATCACAGTTTTTGAATGATTGTTTCCTCTGGTATCAGATGCTGTGCAGCTGGAAGGATTTTTACTGAAACTTTTTTAGTTTTGGACATTTGTTATGATGCGTAACCATGGCAACAAGGCAGTTTTCTACAACCAACAGCAGCTGATTAACATATTAAAGCTCAAATAATGTCTCAACTACAGCCCCAAATCTCAAATGAGTTGAAAATGATGTTCTGTGGACGCATTCTCATCTACCTGCCAGCTGCGCTCAAGTGCCTGACCACTGAGATCCTGGAACTAGCAGGAAACATGGCTCATGACAGCGGAAGGACAAGATCGTCCCTCAGCACCTACAGTTGGCTGTCCGCAGCGACGAGGAGCTCGGCGGACTGCTGGGAGGAGTGGCCATCGCTCTAGGAGGAGTTCTGGCGGGCATTCGGATGGCCCTTCTGCACAGGAGGACCGAGAGGCCAGCCGAATATGACAGCAAGCTGGATTTGGGTGACAGATCGGTATCTGTGGCCAGATTTTTCATATTCGATGCAGGAGATCCTTCCTTCCCACAGCAATCAGCATCAAACAACTCTTGAATAAAACCAGGATGATGAGCTACGACAACACTTAATTTCCCTCTGGGATTAATAAAGTATTTTTGAATTGAATTGAATTGAATTGATCAGTCTTACATCGGGGAAACTAAACAACCACTAGCCAAAAGGATGGCCCAGCACAGAAGAGCAACACCATCAGGCCAGGACTCTGAGGTCTGCACTCATCTCCAGGCCAGCGGTCACTCTTTCAGGGATGAAGATGTTCACATCCTGGACAGAGAGGAACGATGGTTTGAGAGAGGAGTAAAGGAGGCCATCTTTGTGAAAATAAATCGTCCATCATTAAACAGGTGTGGAGCCTCTGGGTTCAACTGTCCCCCTCTTAAAATGCCATTATTGCTAGTATCACTCAGCCCTCTGTGAATAGTAAGCAGCCATCAGTGTGCTAATGATCCATTGTTAGGCTGATAGTCCTCCTTGATCATGTGAGCAGCTGGTTTTGGTTGTCAGCAGCAAACTGGTTGATCCACTCTGAGAAGGTGCTATTTACGAGACTGAGCTGAATACAGCACTGAGCTGAATACAGCACCTCAGACTGAGGAAGTCTTTCGGATGAAAGACGAAATGTTTCTACATTTTTGTTGTTGTTTTGCTTTGTTTTGTTTTTTGAATGTCCAGAGGACCACATTTAACTTTTTTAGATTGATTAACATTGTTTTTTAGTCTGTAACAGAAAAGGCTTAAAGTGCATAAATTTGTCTGAAATTTAAAAAAATCCTTATTTAAACTGTCAACATTTTAGACCATTTGATACTAAAAACTAA